ATGTTCTGGGCCACGGTGGTGCAATTGCCCAAACTGGGCGAGGCCTTCCCTGACTATATTGCGGTATACACATAAAGGGACGATCAAAGGATACCGCTGCCAATCTGAGCCTGGGACTTAGCTGCACCCGGTTGAGGCTCAGCAAAGATGATGCAGAGATTGTTGATTCTCTTCCCACATTCCAGCAATCGTGTGCTACATGATGGCTAGATGTTTCGCAGCAGATGTCGAAACCTAAAGCCTGCGATATTTCAACTTACTTTCCTCTTTGTGGGGGCCAGCAACAGGCAGCCCCGGCCCGAAAAGCCATGCTACGCAGCGCTCCCAAGCCATTGTAGCGCTGGTCGTAACCCCCTTCAGTGATCATAGTATATATATATATATTTATTTATTTATTTATTTATGTATTTGTAACAAAGCCTACAAACCCCTGTAGTGATTATAGTGATTTTCATAAAGCCTAGAACGTAGAGCTCTCGTGTCGCAGGCGCGAAGGCAGAAGGTCTTGCGCAAGAAGGAAAAGCGTCTGGCGCTCCTTATCTTGAACTGTGGATTCGCTAAGTTGAAGACCTGGCACTGGGGTCGGAATAATTCGTTTTCTTTTAAGAGCAACTAGGCCAGGGGTGTTAGTGGTTGGATGTTGCTTAGAAAATGTCGGGAAGCCTTGACGATGTGGTTTCTAACGGTTAGGTGTTCATTGTTTTGGTCAGCTCTGTCTGTTTCTGCGGCTTCGAGTGGCTACACGGGAGGCATGCCCTCTAGGCAAGTTTCGGTATTGTCCACTGCCTTCTCGAGCTTTTCCAGGACAACCGGTATAGTGCATGTGTTGAATCATTCCCATCGATTGCACCTAAGCGCCACTATGAGCCCAGGGCCATGAGGTGTGGCAGTCCGGATTTTTCGACTCAGGGGTGAAACAGGGCCTTAAGATCCCATCTCCGGTCTCCTCGCCTTAAGCCTTAGACTCATTCAACACAACACGTCAACCCCCAAACCCCTGAACCCCCAAAACCCTCCACCTCTGAACCACAAAACCCCGAATCCTAAACCATCTGCCCCCAAAATCCTACTCCCGAGCCCCTACCATCCTTTCGTCCGATGAGTCTCTGCCTGGCGAGGAAGGGCAGCCCGGACCCAGAAGTCCAGGTGAACCGCCAGGGAAGCAACAGGGGATGGCTGGGAGAGTCAAGGGTTCAAGAGAAAAAGTGCCGGAGAGAAAGGGAGAGCGAGAGAGAGCGGGGGAGAAACGATGCCCGAGACCGAGGCCCATGAGGACCAGTATAGTTCACTTATCCATACTACCGTATTTGCCACACGCACTCCTAGAACGTTCGGTGGGGTATGCTCCACCTCAAACCCAAAGACTACAATTCAGTCTGTGGGTCTTGAAATGTCGAAGAGGCTAAATTTGTTGAAGCTTGCTTGTCACTACCTTCGGTCGACACCGTTTAGCCTTTGCCGCTAGGTTGCACCGCAAACTCGAACACGTCCTAAGGTTGTTCCCTTCATCCAATGAGTTCCTCTATGGGTGCAACAGACTGTGGCTTCCCAGCTTTGAGAATCGTGAAGCTGCAACCAAAAAGGCCGAAACGCCCATACCGTTCGGCAGTTCAATGTTGGGCGTACTTTCCAGAACCATCGCTTCTTTCCACAAAAGGCTGGAACAGAACCTAGCTCTCGAGCCTGGATAAGTGGTTCAAGCATTTGCACTGAAGTCCGGAGGTGTGCAACGGAGGTGGCAGCGCTGCACCCTAAGCTCTAAGGCCATGCGCACAAACACAGCCCCAAACGCGGAAAGGGCCGCGCAACCGGTGTCTGCCAGGCTTTGCTGAACCAGCGCCCTGAGCTAAAGCGGCCCGCTCGGAAATGAAGGACTCGGAGAGCCGTTCTGCAGATTCGCAAAACAATGCAAATGCCACCAATCTCCCGGTTTTGGAAGTGATGAAAGTCCTGGGTCGATTCTTCCTTGTGCTTCTGTTTCCATGTGCAGGTTCCCCTTTACTTGCTTCGAGCTAGCTTATGATCGAGGCGACAGCTGTGGTTGTATTGCCGCTGTCTCGTCGCTGTCGGCAGAGGAACTTAGGATAGCTTGCATGTATCTCATTCGATCGCAGCCACACCAACCGCAAGGTGTCTGTGCAATC